ACCTCAGAGTCAAGTCCGGCTTCATTCCGTCGCAGGTGACATTGAGAAAGTCCAGTAAGCCAGGACATGTGGAATAGGGAAATTGAGACAGATAGCTGAACAAACTGACAGATACAGGTCACCTCCCTAGAAATAACATCTAGGCCTCAGTTATATTTCAGCTCCAGACCCAGAAAAGCCGCAAAACCAGGTGGGCAGCACCAGGACCAGCTGCGATGACTAATGAGCCCCTGACACTGACCAGTCAGTGGAGACCATGGCCCTGGAGGCCCACACCGAGAAAACTGATGAGTATTCTGCTAAAACCCTCCCGAGACCTCCCCTAAGATTCCCGCCTGTGAGAAAGAGATACAGCCTCGAGACAAAGGACCCAGTGCGTGCTCTCCCCCTGGGGAGCAACGGACAGCAGCAGCTCGTCCTCTGAATCTCAGTCTGCTCCCAAGGCCCCCTTCTCTCTGACTTCCCAGACAGCCAGGGCAGCCCAGCCTCGGCTCTCCTGTTGCTTCTTCTATGCTAAGCCCTTTCTTGTTTTCCTGTCCCCAGCTTTAATAAATATTCTCTCATACTCACCTGAACTCGCGCTGTGAAATTTTTCCTGCACAAAGTCAAGAACCCACACACTACCTGCCGGCCCTAGGCAGGCCCGCCAAGGCCCATATCCTCTTTCGGGTAACGGCGTTTCCCACGAGCAGCAGCCTCACTAGTGACACTGACCTGCCATAGGTCATTGGGGAATATAGAAGTGACAGCTAGTGGGCATCTGGGGGTAAGACATCTCCTCATGCAAATAGTGAGTTCTCAACTCTTGGGCCAGCAGTTACAGATGGACCACTGCAACTTTTAGTAGCTTATCTGGTTCTGGGAGCGTCACGGGCAATGCCAGTCCCAAGATCCCTTTTACACTTGTGCGTTGAGTAAGAGGAACAGAGGGAGAATTTCCCATCAGCAAATGTGACTGGATGGATTCAATCCAGAAGGGCAAGGGCAGTTTGCCTTGGGCACGTACCAGGTGCTTTTCCTTTCTTTTCTCTTTGGAATTCCACTTTCAGAGTTGGTTGGAAATTGGGATCGTCCTAAGGGCCATTTAACCAAGCTGCCTAACAAGCTGCCCAGTCCCTTAAATGGGAAAGATCTGCATTAGCTTTCTGACTCTGGTTTCCAGTGATCACAGAGCAGCTGCTTTAACTGCAGAATCACACACTATGGTGTTATCCACGGAATTTTATCAGCAGTGAACAAGGCTATAGCTTCTCCAGGCTAAATATCTTGCCTTCAACTAAACCATCTCCATACTTACATGTCATAAAAAGACTTGAGATTTTGAATGAAATGATCTCCAATGTTCCCTGTGGCTCTCCAATTCTGTGTCTAAGCTTAGGACTAAGATGAAAATGAACTTCATTGTTTGGAAGTCATGATTATGGATTGAAAACTGAATGCCAAGTGAAGCCTCAGTTTTCAACTCTGACACCAAACTCTCCACATTAAGTTGTCCTCCTCTGACAATTTTCCTTTTAATTAAAACGCAGCCTGATGGGCAGAGTCTTGGGGCACATAAAGCGGTTATGTGATTCACTCAGCCATCCATATGCATGTGTGACCTATTTAGCTTTTAAAATCCTATTTAATGCCAAAAACTACATTAGAGAATTCAAACGAAAGCTCACAGGGAGTCCCATAATGAGACTGTTTTGATTATTCCAGTGATTAGCCCGTTTCCTCTCTCTTTAGTAATTTCATTTAGTAAAGTAGTCATTTTAAGAACAAGTAGATTTTCTTTATTGCTTTTCTAGTTTGCTGTGAAATTGGCAGGTGGCCAACCATCTGTGAAACTGCAATTATTACTATTACTTAAAATTTATCAAACCTCGTTGGTACCATGAAAACAATCCCCCTGCCCAAGAAGACAAGGCCAAGAAGCATGAAAAAGACCCAATGTTGCCCAAATGTAGGTATCACCCCATGTTTCAACCCTTGAGCCCCAAATCCCAGAAATGGCATTAGTGGGCAAAATGGGGAAACGTCGGTGCAAAACTGCAAAAAATGATTTTGATCCTGTGCCACAGGGCACCCGCTGTTCAGCACTTAGGAGGCTCCTTCTTCCTGCCAGGAGTACTATGCGTTCATCCATGAATGCATTTATTTGTCATTCAGCATTTCTTGAAGTGTGTGGGCTTGTTGGCTTCTAATGCAGTTTTACTTCTGAATAATTCCAGTAGCACTGCCTCTTTTAACCACACGTTTCTCTCTTATTCTTACTTTTTTACACATTTAGCAGTGAAACAATGGTGAGGATGTTTAAGGTACTCCTATTGGATCTCTGCTCACTTTTCTACCCCTCCTGGCTACAGATGTTTCCAAGGAGAAGGTCTGAGCAGTAAGATGGGAACCCAGGAGGGGGTTGTCCTCCAGGAATCAGAATTCAGTAGCAGCAGCCTCACCAGTGTGGGCAGACGGTCCTCTTCACGCAGACGGTCTTCCTCAGACAGCAGGAAGACACGCCTAGTCACTGGCTGTGCAGCGTCTCTCTCAGGGCCAGGGAGCCCACACGTCCAGGTTCTTCTGTGACAGACTGGGCCTATGCCTTAGTAGCGCCTGCCTTCACTCTGAAAGTGTTAAGAGATTGGATAATGACTTACACAGCTCACTTAATGCCCCATTGGAGCTCGTCCACCTATTAGATGACCTAACACATTTTTAGCCAGTGCCATCACTTTGGGGTAATAAGTTCAGGAAGATTATTCCGCAGTGTAAAGTAATATTTATCTATCCTGAAATTATCCTCCTAGCATTACGGGATCATTCCCAGCTCTAATGCGGAGTCCTGGTAAACAAGCTCATTTTCATGCTTTTATAGATGTAGTCTTACACCAAACCTTCGTCTATCTAGATGAAAGCCTCTGATTTTAGTCTATTCCCAGAGATCTCCTCCCTCTCATCATTAGTTTTCCTCATTAATAAGGCTTCAGTAGTGATTGGAGGCAACTTGTCTGCTGTCTGAAAAGTGACACACAATGGCCTGTCCTCTCAGGATGAAGGGCCATCTGGTCGGTGTGGGCTTCCCAGCTGTTTTATAATCTGAATTAAACAGTTTTGACCACATAGAACAAAGGGCAGAGACACTGTCTAGGTGGCCCATGGTGAGCCCTTGGTCTATGCCTGCAGAAAGAAAAAAGACAAAAAAAAAAAAAAAGGGGGGGGGTCAAAGAAAAACGGCAGAAAGGAAAAAAGGAAGATCAGTGTACATAACTAAGAAGCAATTTAGCCTGATGGCGTGGCTCAGCGGTTGAGCATCGAACTAGGATCCAGGAGATCCCGGTCAGGGCACATACCCGGGTTTCAGACTCGATCCCCAGCGGGGGTCGTGCGGGAGGCAGCCAATCAATGACTCTCATCACTGATGTTTCTATCTCTCTCTCTCCTCTCCCTTCCTCTCTCTCAAATCAATACAGATATATATTTTAAAAAGAAGCAATTTAATAAAATAAAAAACACAATTTGCAAGTTAAAAAAGAATGTTGCTTTGTTTTATATCCCAAGGCCAACCGGAATGGCCAAACATATCAAGGGTTAGTAAAAAATCCAAGTGTGCACTGAAGTGAAACTGATGATTTCTTCCTTTCCAAGAACAGGAATTTTACAGAAAAAGTACGTAAGAGGAGTAGAAGGAAAAAAGGGGACATTTTGTAACAGAATACCCTTGCACTTTGTATTTCTGACTTAGAAGTTAGAGTGCATTAAAAACAAGCTGTATGAGTGCCTTCCATGCGCGAGGTATTTTTCCAGGCACTGAAGACGGATAGGCTGGATTTCATGTCAGTTCCTGTTGTTTCAGACACTGCCGTTTGCTTTCCTATGGAACGTCAGGACGACATAACAAATCACAATCTCCTGCTGAGTATTACTTGCGGCTTCGTTTCTTTCATGGTAAGAGTCACACAGGTCATTCAAGTGCTGCCTTATCTTGCCTTTGCAAGAACTCCTAAGCATTTAGGAAACGCAGGTCTTTCTCTTAAGAAAGTGATAATTCACTGGGAAGACAGACTACACATGATTTACACATTTATTATATAAGATTGGGCCCCAATCATTTAGGATTGCTGGGCATTTGAACACAGGCTGGGTTGAAGTTCAACTGTATTTCATCTTTGATCCAAAAGTTTACTGAAAAACATAGACAATACTTTAAAGAAACATTTACATTTTTCAAGGAAAAACTTTTTTTAAACTGCGAGTCACGTTTTCAAGCAAATTATTTCTATTAAGTACACACTGTTCTAACTATTTATAAAAGCAGATCACGATGGATGGCAACTTAAGAAGACTTCATAAAGCATCAGTATGCTACTGTTCCTTTTATCCTGAAAAATGAATGTTTTCCTTTTAAAAATATTTTAAATATGTAACTTGGACACACAGTGTTTTTGGCTCACTTCATTTTTGAAGTCTGACTGTGAACCAGAAAGGCAAGGGCACGGAATTTATATCTAATCATCTCCAAGTACTGACGGGGTTGCTGGGCGACTCCACTTAGTGGGGGAGAGAGGATGACAGGATAGGGTGCAAGTTCTGAGCAGGGACGTGAACAGTGCAGCTTTATAAATGTCCTGCTCCGGAAGAAGGCTCATCCATTAAGTCTGGCATCGTGCCAAGGGCAGCATGCACAGAACTTTCTTCTTTATGAGAAACTGTTTCTTGGGGGTACATTTATATTGTCCTACGTGTGTTTTCAATGTGGGCCTGGAGATTGCAGCCCTGGAGCCTTCTTAAGCATCCAGATAAGTAATTAATTTTGCAAATCACAAACATGCTCAATTTGACTTTTTGAAGCTACAGTTCTGAGACCAACTGTGCCCTTCCTAATTTGGAAATATTTTCTTTCTGGTTTTATTTTGATATGTGCCCAGCTATCCACGTTTGTTGCTATTTCTAGCATTCCTCAGGAGCTGCTTCCATGGTTGTCATAGTGCAGACAAACACTCAAGAAAACCAAGAGCTCGGAGCTTTCATAAAGCATTTATTTTTATTTGAAAACATTATACAGGCATTACATTGCCACAGCCAGTCCGTAGGGGAGCATGCAAATATCAAAAATGGAGAGTTTGCTCAACGTATTGGTGTAAATTTCTTTTTTTGGTTCATATTTTCCATTTGCGGTGTCTGGATTAGTGTGCTTTGTTATGTGGCTTGACAATAGAATCCTACCCATGGGGTAAAATCTGTACTGGTCGCTAGCTGGGGACTACTAAATGGTTATAAATCAAAAAAGGAACCCAAAACAAACAATACCACACGCTTCTCAAAAGGTTAATAGCACAAGTTAGCAATATCTAAACTAAACATTGAAACGTTTTCATGGGACACAGTGGTGCAAATTTTTCTAATTGCTTGGTCTACCTGGGTGTGAATCTCAGAGTTTGAAGATGTGGGAAGGTGTGACCAAGGCAAGCTCTGTCCCCAGTGCAAGTTTTCATTGAGGCAGGAACCTCCGCTTCTCCCTAGGCGGGGTTAGGAAAGCTGCGGTTGGCTTAGCCATTCAAATTCTATACAGGTTGCTAGTCTCACTCGTGGAGGAGGGTGGGGTGGCGCGTTGAAAAGCTGACATTTTTGCTGGTGTCTACTGACCTTATGAACTTTCAGAAATGAAAACAGCTAGAGTTAATGTCCCACACCCATTTCCCACCCCACTCCCAAAGGATCAATGTTTTTACACTGAAAAAAGTGTGTTTCCTGCTATTTTCTTTTGTTCCAAAGAATTGATCTGGAACTCCCGATCTTGGACAATTCAGTGTTATCAGCCTTCTAAATGGAGACAAACCGACACAGTGAGGTACCCCAGGGACATGAAAATCTTGTGTACAAGGACACTGGATGATGATAAAGGGTATACAGTGAATTCACCTTAACATTCACACTAGGTTTCCATACAATGGAGTCAATTAAAATATCCTAGAAAATAATTCAGATGGCAACTTTTAGCCATCCACTGATTGCAAACCTTTTTGAAATTTAAATTTTAAAAAAGATTCCCAGTCCATTGAGTCAACTAGGAAAACTTTCATCCACTTATTTCTCCTAAGACTTTACTAAGCAACTACAAATTAGTGTCACAAAAATGAATAAAAAAAGCTAAAACATTTGGCTTAAAATAAATACTAAAAATGCAATAAATCAAGCAAATTATGCAAACCAAAGGAATGTAAACACAAAAAGAAAACCACAGTCTTTAAAGGTCTTCAGATCTGAATGAACAAAATATTCAGAGAAAGGTATTTAATTGGTTCAAAAGGTAGCAGAGAGCAGACATTGGCAAAATTGTTTTGACTGGATATAGCTTTAACATTGATTTTCATTTATCCCAGAGAAAATAAAACGTGTTTCTAAGGGGGCTGAACACAGATGAGCCTAATATCTGACTATCATAAAAGATACTTTTTCTTCTCCATCTGCAAGGGCACAGCTACCAGCCCTGGGGAGGAGGCATGCCGAGGGGCCACGTGGACGCTGACTGACGGCATGAGATGTTTTTGCCTCTGTTTTTAGCGCCTTGCTCAGGCTACATAGGAATCCTGACTAAGTGGCAGTCTGTCCTTCGACTTACAGAGACCCCTCTGGTGTTTTGCTTTACTTGCTTAAGATTCATTGCTTTTCCTTGCCCAAAATTTATGAGCATTTACTCTTTCCTTACAAACTCTGTAACTTTATCGAGGATTTTTTTTGAATGATGTTGAAGCCAGCCAACCATGAAGACCATTTTATATACCGACGCAAAGAATCTATTGCTAAATCATAGAGATCTGTAGTGTTTCTTGATTTCCTCTGTTTGGAAAAGGTTATTTTAAGGGCAACAGAATTAGAGTAGTGACATATCCCTCAGAGCCTTTTCGGGACCCAGCCATATTCTCTGTATCCATGAGGATGTTGTGTTGATGTATTGTTATTGAATGGATGCTAAATATAACCAAAATGCCCGACTTTCTCACTGGCAACATCTTTACCACTACACAGTGGCCAGATCATTCGAGCTATTGTCAGAGACTGCTCCCTATCAGCACCTTGACTTTGTTGGGAGGCCACAGAGCCCAAACTATTCTACAATAAAGGTAACTGCATGTTGCTGTGTTTCAGAAAGGGTGTCACACAATCAAGAGGGCAGAGGACCATGGCTTTTGCCAATACCTTGATTAATTTCCATATTATCATTAAAGGAATCTAAGGAGAAAAGAAAAGCAAATCTATTTTTTGAAGAGGGGATATAGGGAGGGGCAACAAGATTTTTAAAACTACGTATTAGCCTGAACACGTTATATTACTCCTGGGCTTTCCCATTAGCCAGAGAAATGGAATGTTCCTTATCCTGTTATTTCAGGGACTTAATTGGCAGAATCAAGGTGGCACAACAGAAAGGCAATTACCAGGAGTAATCAGAAATCAAAATGTAAAAAGGCTAACGTTATTTGTTTTATATCTATTCCTGGAATAGAGAATTATGTGGTCAGTTGCCCCTCCCCACAAGGGTCACGGCACAAAGTACTTACTGAGCGGGCAATCCAACAAGTAACAGAGGAAACCATCAGCCACCAGGTCCCTAGGCTAAGGAAACTTCTCAGAGTGGAGCTCCTATGGCATGCAGCACTCAGAGACTGTGCGAAAAATAAATAAAAATAAAGTATGACTCTTAAAAAGGGACTTGCCATAGAAAAGTGGGATTTATGTTAACTACATGTGGGCCTGGCAATAGTTCCCATCAGGAGTACAAAACATCCTTCTGAAACTTGGTGTAATAAGAGTAACAATAGTAATAAAAATGATCATAACACTTGCTTTTGATTAAAAAATTTTCACAGTAATTAATGCAGGGGTGTTGTGATCTGGATACACACGAGCGGGGGATCTCTCCAAGTCAGGTGGATGAGAGACTGGCTCCCGTGATGTTTAGCGTGTGCCTCTCCCAGGCTTTTGGGTTTGCTACCTTGCAGTCCACCTGTGTGAACTGCACCTGATAAATACCTTTCTCCACGCACAATACCGAGACAATGCGAGGCGCGGCGCCCCCTAGGCCACCCGGACGCGGGGCTCCTCTTCCGTCTCCTGGCCCAGGCTGGTGTAGGTGACCGAGGGCTCCACCTGGGCCGCGGCGGGCAAGTCCAGCACGGGGCCCGCGGGGTTGCGGAACTGCTTGTACACGCGGGGGTCCTGCGCGATGTAGGTGGAGGTGGAGGAGTAGAGCACCAGCCCGATGAGGATGGTGAAGAAAGACAGCAGGTAAAGTCCTGAAAACTGAGACACCACACACAGCTCGTTAGCACTGGGAACACATAGCTAACTGTCCCTAAAATGCCACTGAGGGCCTGATGTGGGACAGCCAGTTAAGCACAAATTAAAATGCATCAAGTTAAAAGCAAAAAGTCTCCAGTTTCACTCAACACAGAGTTGGCTGTTGTTGGCCTCCTTGAGCCCAGTAGAAACACAGATATTCCAATTAAGGTTGTCATGGAGCCACGGACACCAAACCCCTCCCCGACACAGCCACATCAGGCTCTCTCATTCCCCCAGGACCCAGTGCCCACACTGTTTGTCTTTTCAGCAGGAACTGTTATTTGACTATCTTTGCATCAAATTATCCTTGGGTGGGAAAAAACCCCTGTAACATTCCGTTCTTGCCCCCCTACCCAATCAGAAGACAAAATCAAGCAGGGTTGTATATACAGAAGTTTGCTTCCTAAACGACTTGCTTGGCAGTTGATAGAGGTTTGTAAGAAAAAAAAGAAAAGAATGGTTTATACAAGTGTCCAAGAATTTATGTTTTTGAAAAACTACAGCTTCTGAACCTTCTTGAGTAGTTACACTGGAAATAGCTGCTTCAGTAGTTACTGGGGGAGACTGAAGTAACAATATATGTTGCCATTCTGTTGTTTCATTCGTTCGTTCATTCATTCATTCATTCTTCACTCCATTCAACAGTTTCTTTTATGTCTTCTCTATATCAAAGACTGAACTTTGTACTGGGAAAAAGAAGTGAAAACATATAGTCCTTACCATCAAGGACTGGACAGTCTCAGTGGGGAAGCAGGGCTACAGGCCCAAGGACAACACAAGGCAGTACGGTTGGCCAAGGTTCATTTTAGTCAGTAGCTACTGTCCCCGTCTTGACCACATTTTTTCCAAGGGAAAAAAGGATCCATTTGATTTCCCTATTTTATTTTTTATGCTCATATTCTAAAAGAACGAAAAACTGGTAAAAACAAAAAACCAAAAACATCCCACAAATGTTCATTGGAAGCTGGAAGAAAGGAGACCAGGAGAAGGACCCAGAAGAACCTATAAAGAAAGTTGCGAGGCTACAGTAAAGAGTTAAAAGGCGCTACGACAGGAGAGGCAGCTTTGAAAAGATCACGTAGGGAAGATAGCCCTGTGGCTAAAGTTCCTGCCGTGGGTCTTTTCCTTTCTTTCTTCTTTTCCTTCTATTTATTTTCCAGCAGCAGCAAGGCTAGAGCTAAGACTAAAGATAATTTTCCGATTTTCTTTCTAGAACGGAAACCATAGGACAGTACACCCTCAGATGGATTTATACGCTAGACTCAGCTTGCAAGAGCTTCTCTTCACTTGAAACGGTTAATACGGAAAGAAGACCCCTAACTAGGTGCTGTTGCAAATGATCTCAGAAAACCTCTTTACCCCCAAATGCGCTTCCCGAAATTCTACATTCAACAGATTCGTCCTTTATCTGAAACACTGGTGAATGAAATGAGTTTGTTCCTAATTTGACCATCATTTCAAATATTTTGTTAGTGACTTTCATTTTCAAAACTCCACTCGGCCTCTTTAGCTTCAAGTGGAGAGCCTTGCAGGTCCAGGGGTGAGCCTGCCTCTGTTGCAGCAGATGGGGCTGGGGGGGATTCAGAATGGGGGCTTTGGGGTTGGAACTGTTTTCTACTATAAACTGGATTCAAATCCCAGCTCCAATGCTTTCTAGCTGACATTTTAGGCAAGTTTCTTAGCTTTTCCAGATCCATGTTTCCTTATCAGTAAAGTGGGGATAATAATTGTACCTACTATATAGGGTGGCTATAAAGATTAAATTAGATAAAGCATGTGAAACACTTACCTTAGTCCCAATATTGCAGCCAGCATTCAATTCATACTGGCTTCATTGTTATTATTATTAATGTTTTGTTGTTATTATTTTTATAGCATGCTATTATAATCAATGATTACTCTTAAAGTACCTTTCTCTCTTAATTCCTTGAATTGGGACCGTTTCTTTCTTGACCAGGGTCAAGTGCAGAGCCAGGCATAGTGAAGGCATCTACTAAATGTTATTTGATATTGGTTTTTATTTTGAATGGAGAAATTTCAGACTCAAGAAAGGAAAAAATTTAAAATTAGCCTATACCAAAGGTGTATTTGAAATTTTTTAGCTTTCAACTCTATAATCCAATGTCATTCCTCAGACATAAAATGTTCAAAAGTCATTGAAAGGGAAATCAAAGTATTGATCTGTAATCATTGGCTCCAAAGGTAATTTTCAAACCTAGGATCAGTCAGAGGAGAGTGATAGGATGATGAATTGGGAGGGACAGTGAAGAAGGCAAGAGTCTGGGTAGAGGAGTGAGGGTCATTGATCAGTGGATTAGAATAAGAGGTTTAACAAACTTGGGATGAACAAGATTTGGCAATTGAAGTCATGTAGGGGTGTTGGCAGGAAAAAATCTGATACAGGGCATCCTGCAAGAAGCATTTGAATTTCTCCCAATTTCTGATTTTGGCTCCCGTATTCTGACTTTATCAATATGGCAAATATTTTCATATTCATTTTTGTAAAGCTAATACCTTTGCCGTTGTAAGAAATAATACCTGAATTATCCTTTTTTTGGACATGGGATCATCAAGTTGAATGATAAATTCACTACAAAGTATCTTCCTGGGACATAGATTTAGAATAACAACATGCCTAGGCTTTATTTCCAATGCATTTCCATTTAATTCATATAGAATCCACTCTAAAATTGTCAAAATACAGGTAGCATAAAATTTTATATGGTAGAGGCATCTTGGAAATCACTCAAAAGATTTTATTAACAGACAGTAGAGAAAGTCTTCATTTAACACATTAGCCCAAAAGAGGAGTAGTAAGTCAAGCATTATGATTAATCTGGATAAATATTGAAAGTTAGAAATAACAACAGAAAGGTTGTATTTGTTAAAAAGTAAGAAAAAGTTTCTTTTCTTTTTTTCCTTTATAGAGTGATAGAAAAATAATTTAATCAGGTACCTAATAGGATGGCCCTCAGTTCCGGATGCCACCCTTATCCTGACAGAGCATTCATTTTAGAAAAGAAAATCCACCAAACGGAAATTCTGTATATTCCCAGCTGTTAACCTGTTATCTGCAAAGAAACACTCATTTGTAGTTCTGCAAGCAAAGGGAACAGGAGCTCCTCTGGAACTCTGCAGGAGGCCTGAGCCACCTGCGAGGCACAGATGAGGCAAGTTTCAGGCAGAGGCTCACTGCCTCCACTTAAGAACAAGGGCTCTGCCTGGAGTGTATTTGTCACCCCACTCCAGTCAACAGCAGGCCCTGGGGAGACGGTGCACGTTCTGTGCTGCAGACGCCCTCCTGCCCGCGTTTCATCTGACTTGCAGCTGTGAGCAGCTGAGACAGGATGCACCTTGCGTCAACACTATCACACTGCACACTCCGTTTACTTCGCTGCTGCTGTTTTCCATCCTGACCGGTTCTTTTGTAATAAGGGTCAGAAAGCACTCCTGGCTGGGACCCAAGCCGGCGTCCAGAGGAGGGAGCATGGGAGACTGATGACGGAGCTGCACGAAGCTCTTTAACTTCAGCGAGGGATTCAGCCTCGCTCTCAGCCAGCTGGCACCTCGGTGCCATCACTAGTTAGCTAGTGGGACATTCAGCACATCGATGAAGGGCAGATTCAATTTTTATTTTAGCTTTGGTACTGAACTTCCAAGTTGAGTTTTAATAAACTAATGACTTTAATGAGCCTAAGCTTATACAAGGTAGAAAGCCACATGGTTTGAAAGTGATTTCAAAGTATATTTATATCAACTAGAATACATGAGGAAGAGAGCAGTTTTCAAGGGCAGCTTTCTTGTTCCAGTTTAACTAAGGAGATGACAGGGGTGAGCAGAGGTGAGCATGGGCAATCCTCAGAGGGGCGTAAGGTAAAGGGTGAAGCGACTGGGCCACAGCTCTGCTTTCACTGGATGTAAGTACCAGCCACTCAGTACGGGGGGCCTGGCTTGTTCTTATTTCCCAGGGAGTGCCTTTAATAGAGTCCCTGGATGTGTATGCCTGTGTGTAACGTGGCTTCTACAAGGTGCCTGATGTTGGACTCTGGTCATTTTTGCCCAGTGAATTCGCTTGGGCCTATTAATGATCAGAACTAATCTTGATTTAACAAATAACAAGAAGTAAAATTTTTATTTGAGCTCTGACAAAGAGATGCACCACAGTCCTATCTGCAAAGCAAGACAAAGATTCAACAGGAAAAAGGAACGATGTCACTTGTGAGGTAGAAGAAAGACCTGGAAAAGAGTAGTGGGTGAGGTCTCTTAGGAAAGGGGGGGTGCATGAGACCCATGTAAAGCTACTGGAATTATCTGAGAAAAAAGGAGAGATTTAGATTAGGTCTAATGTAGCTCTGACTTGGAGAGCCAGAGGAAGCTCAGAGAAAATACAATTGGAAGGAGGAAGGAAATTAGGTCAAACTGGAAAGAAAAGATACAGGTAAGGGTGTTTCTCAATACGTAGGAGGAGAGGGGACTGCAGGACTGGATAACCAAAAAATAATGACTCTATTCTAAATTGAGCCAGCATGTATTCGCTCTCTGTCTCTCAAATGTTTGTACACACACATCCACG